AGCATAAGATATTTGCTCTTATGAGGATGGGAGGACTGCGGTAGTCTCCCGGTATAAAAGTCCTCATGGTCGTTGATCGTTATATCAGTCATAAAACCTGCATCGCAACTAATCCATCACCAGCACCACTTCCACGGAAGCAGATATGCGTGAAATGGAGCGCTGATGCCACTATGGATAGTGGACTCTGCGTATCTCCGACAACACCCCTATTTGCCGAAATGGAGCAGACTTCAACACTGATGCTGAGTAGCTGAGACATCTTCCACATCAAGGACAGAATGAGACAACACATGATGGCACGAGAATACCTATCCCAATATGTGCGCCCACACACCGATGCCTACTGATGGCCTCCGTGCTAAATTGGAAGTGCATAAGGTCATACTGGATTGGCTGTCAGCAATGCTCATTTGGAAATGGGAGAGGATTATTTGGGAATAACCCTAACGTTCCGAGATGTCCTAACCCATCACCGTGTGATATCTACACAGCTGAGATTCCTTGCTTGAGCAACCACCAAAGGAAACTACTCCAGAGCCGATTCTAGAAGTTACCAGCTCCGCGTTTATGGTAGCAACCCCTCGCATGGTTCTGAGCAGCACTTCGCATGCGCTGTTGTACTCAAGGCAGTGTGACTAGCAGACCGCGTGGTGGGCCGAGTCATTACTAGTGATTTTGCTCTCCATCCTGCAACACTACGATGTCGCGTGGGTATGACTCGCAACAATACTAAGGCATGGACGAGCATTCGACAGAAGCTGCATGTGTCGAATACAACGCTGCTACATAAGCAATACTATGACACGACTGCCATGTCACCAACACTTCATCATCTTCATACGTCAAAGAGATGCGAGTAACGACAGGGTGTGCTACCAGGGACTGAACGTAAAGTGTGCCATTTACAGTACGCAATGAAATGGAGGCACATCTACTGTTCAGCAACATCTTACGGTACAACATCTCGATCACGATCAACGTCATCCGCGTACCACCTACAGGCTGACAGATATACAACGTGGCTCAGACGGATTGTTGAACAACTTCTGCACAACGTTGTTGATATGGGAGTGTGTCTACATCAACGCCACCTTGATACCAACATGACGATTACCATGTTTCCTTCGCTACTGACACAACCCGCTCATACCACAGCAACTGACAAATCCATTTCAATCACCGTTGTCCATCAACTCTAACACCGGACACGCCAGTTGGACATCCAACAACAGCAGAAGCACTGGGCCACTCTTCACTACAGTTATCCACATTGTAATCTTGACATCATCCATCTTCCATCCAAGATTCAACCTTGCTACAAGTCTATCCTTGTTGAAGCAGAGGACACTTCAGTCACTTTCCGCTTCCGCCTATTGGCCACTTGGAAGATCCTTCCATACCAGCTTCTTAAACCCTATCAAGACCAAACACGCTCTATACCAAATGCCAACCACCGTCGCCACCCGAGTTCATCCACGACATGGGACAACTACGTACTCGGACAACGTCGTCGTTAGAATGGAGGTTCTTCTTTGCTGGAAGGGTTCTGATCCTTCTGAGGCTGCGTCTCTGAATTCGACATGGGTAACGCCCATCGTCCTCTTCGCGAATACCTTGTCAAGCATGGTGTTACTTCTACCACCCAGCTTTGAGGGGGGGAAGTGTGAGAGTACGACCCCGTTACACCAATTTCCCCTTTTCATATTTCCTTTCGATTTCATTCCTTTTTTTTTCTATCCTGATTCATTTTGTCTTTATCTCATCTCTTTTGGTTTCCTATTCCTCATTTTCCATTATCATTTGGTTTATCATGTTATTATAATTATATCAGCGACCAGACTCGGGATGTATTGGCGCGCTATACACTGAGGGAAAAAACCGTCCGGATGTTTGGCAATAAGTTGGGTTTTTAGGCTTTGAGACTACTGTATGGTAAACCTGCAAGATGCACGGTGGTACATGTTGGGAGAGGCACAAAGTGGATGCGTTCACTGCACTAAGAACTAGAATAGTACATTGGATCTAACTCATACTCCAAAAGATATACAACGAGTACATCCGGACAGTTTTTTCCCAGGACAAAGAGCAAACTTCCGAACAACGTTTCTAGTACCTAGTCCACCTACTCTTGGCGTTGATCACCATCCACACCCTCCTAGGCATGTTATCTATGTGGTTAGTGCAGACCTTTGCATGAAGCTTCTTGCACTCTTCCTTGACCCACCATTTTGCATAAGGGGGTGAGCACAAGGAAAATTGCGAAGTATTTGAGCGTATGCATAAGTATTGTGCACGAATTCAGATTGAATGTAATCTCTGAGACTAGCCAAGCCGAGGGGTGTCCAAAGATGCCATTACTTGAATGGTCCCGGCTTATCATGAGTTGTTTTCGTCGAATCAGAGTAGGGTGAAATCACGAATAGAGTGGCAAAATCTAGCATACCCGCCACGAAACTTAGGGTAACAGAGCACGGTCGATTGAGCATCCTTTCATTGTTAGAATCATGTTAAAATCCGCGAGTCTAGTGACAGTGCATCAGTTGAAGAAGTCTCGACTGTTTGGGAAGAATATCAGGGTTGAGGTCTGGTGAGGAAGAGGGGCACTCCAGAGCTACATATCCATGCTCTCCGAGCCATTCCAAGCCTAGGCAGGGAAAATGACATGGAATGCCTTGGAGAGCATAAGTATGTTGCGCTGGAGTGACCCTTTTTCTCACCAGACCTCAATCCAGATATTCTTCCCAAACAGTCGAGGTTTCTTCGACTGCTGCCCCGTCACTAGACCCGCGGATTTTAACATGGTTCACACAGTGAAAGGATGTTCAGTCGACCGTGCTCTGTTACCCTAAGATTCGTGGCGGGAATGCTAGATTTTGCCACTCTATTCGTGATTTTACCCTAGAACGATACGACGAAGACGACCCATGATAAGCCGGGACCATTTAACTAATGGCATCTTTGGCCACCCCTCGGCTTGGCTAGTCTCTGAGATAACATTCATTCAGAATTTGTGTACAATACTTATGCATACGCTCAAATACTTTGCAATTTTCCTTGTGCTCACCCCCTTATGCAAAATGGTGGGTCCAGGAAGAGTGCGAGAAGCTTCATGCAAAGGTCTGCACTAACCCCATAGATAACATGCCTAGGAGGGTGCGGATGGTGATCAACGCCAAGAGTAGGTGGACTAGGTACTAGAAACGTTGTTCGGAAGTTTGCTCTTTGTCCTGGGAAAAAACTGTCCGGATGTACTCGTTGTATATCTTTTGGAATATGAGTTGGATCCAATGTACTATTCTAGTTCTTAGTGCTGTGAACGCATCCACTTTGTGCCTCTCCCAACGCGTACCACCATGCATCTTGCAAATTTACCATACAGTAGTCTTAAAGCCTAAAAACCCAACTTCGTGCCAAACATCCGGACGGTTTTTTCCCTCAGTGTAAATGCGTCATCGTGTACCTCGACGACATCCTGATTTACAGCTCTACCCGAGAGGAGCACTTGAAGGATTTGGAGGCATTTTTCTCTCTCTTGCAGCAGCACCGCCTCATCACCAAGGGCTCTAAGTGGGATTTTCTAAAACACGAACTTGAGTTTTTGGATCACGTAATCTCCGTTGACGGCGTTAAGATTGAGCCCAAGAAGAATGCTACCATCCAAGAATGGAAGTCGCCGGCTAATCTCCGTGAACTTCAAAGTTTCCTAGGGTGTGTCAATTAGATCCGACGGTTCATTCCGAACATGGCGGGGGTAACTTCCCCTCTCACGGATCTCCTAAAGAAGGGCACATTTTTCTAGTGGGGGGGAGAGCAGCAGGCTGCGTTTGAAAAGCTCAAAATTTTTCCTGACTACACCTCCGGTCTTCGGATTGCGGATCCTCACCGTCCGTCCGAGCTCATCACCGACGCTAGCAATCTGACCATTGGCGCAGTACTATTAAAAGACTTCGGCGAAGGCCTCCAACCCATTGCCTACGAGTCACGAAAGTTGAACCAGGCCGAGCGAAATTATCCTCTCCACGACAAGTAGTTACTCACCATCGTTCACGCTTTCAAAGTCTGGCACTGCTATCTGACGGGCGCTGACGTGATAGTCCGAACAGACCACATGTCTCTATAGTTCATCCGTGCCCAACCGACTCTGAATCCCCGACAGATTCGTTGGCTCGACTACCTCGTGCCCAACTTCCACAACAGAGTCACCTACAAACGAGGCGTTAGCAACATCGTCGACGCACAGACCCGCCCCTTGGTCCACACCGCTGCCGCCCTTATTACCCAAGCTAATCTGCTGCTAACTGACCTGTTCACCCACGGATACAACACTGACACATTCTTTACCACAAACAGTCATCCCCAACTGACGGTCAAGCAAGGGGCCTATTATCTAAAATCCGGTACCAATCGGATTTGGGTTCCCGCCTACCGGGAACTACTGATCCAGGAGGCACATGACTCGAATTCCTCGGGTCACTACAGCATCGACAAAACCGCAAAATTACTGTGCCGTTATTATTACTGGCCCGACCTACCGACAGACGTGCAGTCGTTCGACACCTCCTGCGCCACGTGTCAACGCTAAAAGTCTTCATGGCTTCGATCAGCTGGATTGCTGCAGCCGCTCGAGCCACCCAGCCGATCCTAGCAATAAGTGATGATGGACTTCGTCACTGGCCTGCCAGCTGTTAGGATTAAGGATGGAGTCTAGGTGAACTTAGGAGCTAGAATTACTCAAAATATAAATCCGAAAATTCTGGACAGAAACTTCATCTTCACAAGAAACAACGTCGACAAAAAACTAGCCGTTGGAATGTCTCGAAACTCCGATATGTTGTAGCTCTTAATCTCAGCGACCGTTCCCAATTTGAATCACGTTGATTGATGAAGTATTCGCGATGCTATGGCTTTCGTCGCACTGGGGGGTAAGCTGTAGGAGGAGAACTTAACTCAATCTCAAAAGTTCAATCAAAGTTCAAGAATCTCACAAGGAATTAGAGGAGCAAGAGAAAGGTCGGGATAGAAGAGAGGGATGAGAGGGAAGGTCCCAAGAGAGTCCCCAACCAAGGAAACCCCACAAGCACAAAGATTCCCTCCCTATAGGAACCCCAACTTTGACATTTGTCCCTTCCCAACCAATCCATCCAAGTTGGCCACCCTTGCCAACCTAGCTTGGTAGTTCCCAACCAATTTGCAGCTGTTACAGTAGAGTGACAAATTTCCCCAACCCCAAAGGTCCCAATTCCATATAGAGTCACCCCACAACTTCACTTTGTAACCGCCGCAATTGTAACGCAAGCTCATGAACTTTGAATCTTCATAGCTTTCGCGTTCTTGCTCCGATTGAAGCGATTCTTGTTGCATCGGAAAGATCTTCTCAAGATCTATCATCACAAATACCTGCTCAAACAAAAATAACACAAAACACATTCCCAAACTCCAGAACACACACCACACAACTTCTTTCACACAGAGTCAAACCATACATGCGAATTGAAACAAGGGATGGGAGGCAGACAGAATGTGATAGCATATGATGACATCACACAACAATCTCCCCCTCTGGCTGCCAACCATCATCCACCATACCAACATTTCAAGCATGCATACTCAATGCACACTCATCCCAGCAAGCTTCATGCCCTTCCAATGATCCGCCTCCGTCAGACGCTTAGTAAAAATATCTGCTGCCTGCTGATGGGTCTTCACTATCTCCAGCCGCACCTCCTTATCAAGGAGTCTCCTCACCCAGTGCCACTTAGGCCTTATGTGTTTTGTCAGCCCATGCAGACAAGCATTCTTGGCTAGCTTCACTGTAGACTTATTGTCACAGAAGATCACCGTCAGCTACTCCTGACCAACTCCCAACTCCTCTAACAAGCGCCTCAGCCACACCACTTCCTTGACCCCATGGTGCAAGGCCATGTACTCTGTCTCACATGAGGACAATCCCACCTCATTCTGCTTCTTGTTGCGCCAGCTCACAGCACCACCTCCTAGCAAGCACACATAACCCCCAATGCTGGTGCCATCCGCTTTCACTGAGTTGAAGCTAGCGTCAGTACCTTGGGCTGAGGAATTGTAGCCCAATAGCACAATGCAATCTCATCTTCCTCAATCTGCTCAACCACACTCCCAGCCTGCACCACATTCGGCTTGCCTCTTCCCCCATAGGTCAGCCTCACCGGAGGGCGCACATCCCTCCTAGGTCGCTCAGGCGGGTGTGGAACTCGAGGTGGAGACTCATGCTGCTGCTGCTGCTCCACTTCAGCTGCTCCCCCTTCCTCAGACACCCCAGACATCTCCTCCTCAGACACTGCAACCTCCACCTGTCTTGAAGGCCGCTGCACCTCATCTGCCTCCACAATTAGCGGTGTAGATGGAAGCTTTTGTTGCTGCTGCTTCCATTCCTTGTAGTACAGGGACTCAAGAAACTTCACATCCCTTGACACTGTCAGCTTCTGGGTGGTCAAGTCCCATAGCAGCCACCCCTTATGATCCTTTGCAATCCCCAAGTGCACACCCCATCTTCCAGAAGCTTCCAACTTCCCCCTTTTCTCCTGAGGCACATGAAACACCACCATGCACCCAAATGCCCTCAGCATGTTCACAGCTGGAGCACTCCCATACCACTTGACATATGGGATCCACTCCTTATCCCCAACTGTAGCCAGCACCCTGTTCTTCACAAGGGTGACCTGCCTCAGTGCAGACACCCAAAACGGATCAGGCAGCCCTGCACGCCCAAGGAGAGTGCGTGCCCCCTCCTGCAGGGTCCTGTTGAACCTCTCTGCCACGCCATTCTGCTGCGGGTTGTAGGGCACTGTCAGTTGATGTTGGATCCCCTTCCTCTTCAACTCCCCCTCAAAATCAGCTCCAATGAACTCCCCACCATTGTCACTGCGGATCACCTTCACCTTGTGTCCGCATTCTCTCTGAGCTCTAGGCATCCACTCCTTAAGGACAGCCGCTGCCACCTCCCCCTTGCTCTTCAAAAATAAACCCACACTGCCCGAGTGTGGTCATCCACAATCGTCAAGAAATAGCGACTGCCTGAGAGGGAAGGGGCTCTTGTGGGCCCCACCACATCCATGTGCACAAGTGCAAGTGGGGTCTTGGCTGGTCCTGTAGTGCTGTTGAAGGGGAACTTGGAGAACTTGGTCTCCAAGCATGTAGGGCAGCTCCCAATCTCCTTCACTTCCCCCTTGACCTCCAATCCTTTCAGGCTCCCATTCTTCACCAACTTCTGCAGCATAGGGAAGTTCACATGACACAGCCTCTCATGCCATGTCTCCCAATCAGCCTCACCACTCCTGGATGAAGCTTTAGCCCATGCCGCGCTTGCATCCACACCAGCAAGCATCTCGCCATGTGTCTGCTGTTGCTGCACTTTCTTGACTGCTTCCAGAACCCCATCAGTTGGTGCAGTTGCATCTCCTCCTGCTGTTGCCTTTGCCGCTGCTGCCGTTGCTGCTGTTGGAGTCTTCCCATTCCAAGGGATGATGGGCAGCTGCCACAGGTCCTTGATGCAGCTGGTCTCCTCTTCCAAACTCCACAGCACCTTCTTCCCAAGCTTAGCACGGCAGCTGGTTGGTCCAAAGGTCACTTCGGCCATGCTCTTCTGCAGTCACCGCACAGAGAGAAGGTTAGCAGACAAACCTTCAACCAGCAGAACATTCCCAAGCCCCACAAGTTCCCCATTAGCTCCCTTAACCTTGGCATTCCCAACACCAATGACAGGGAGCAAAGCACCGGACGCTGCTGCCACATACTTAATCTTCCCAGGGGGTTTTACCTCATCAAGCAAATCTGCCCGTGGGGTCATGTGACTGGTGCAGCCTGAATCAATCACCCATTGCGTGAGAGGGTGCATCACAACCTTTCCCACAGATCCCACATCACCCTCATGCCCATGCACATCCTCAACCATGAGAAACATCCCATGATAGGTATTACCTTGTGCACCTTCACCTTGTGCACCTGAGCCTTGCACAGCGCCACCTTGTGCGCGTTCACCACTAGGCGATTTCATGCCTGGAGGTGCCCATCCCTCCGGCCTGCTGAAGCACTTGAACCAAGGATGCCCAACCTTCTTGCAGTACCAGCAGGTGCCCTCCATTCTGGTACTCCCCCTGCCACAAGAGCTCCCATGCCCCTCATTATAATCACCTCGGCCTCTACCTCTGCCAAAGCTCCTCCCACGGCCTCGGCCTCTCCAACCCCCTCTTCCTCTGCCGCGCCCTGCAGCTCCATACCCCTCAGCAGTCTTAGTGGAAGCACCACCTCCCACATGGCGTCTGCGGAAGTCCTCCTGCAGAATCTGCTGCCTTAGCCACTCAGGTGTCCATTGATCTTGCTGAGAGTTGAGGGTGGGGATGAGGTTGTCCCAAGAGTTGTCCAACACCGAGATGATCTTGGTGCGCTGCTGCAGCTGAGAAACACTGCTGGCCGCTGCTGCCATCCTTGCATAGGTGTCCTTGATCTTGTCAAGGACCGGCTTCACATCGTCCCCTGGTCGCATGAAGATGGCAGCAAGTTCCTTCTCGAGCATGATCACCATCGGGAGAGTGTTGGGCTGAATCACATCGCGTAGTAGTTTCCACGCCCTTGGACCCGAATCATCCGCTTCCACAAGATCCTTGATGTGCTCGAACATCTTCTTGTTGACCGATTGAAAGATGAGGTCGAAAAGCACTGCGCTTTTCTCAATCCACTGTTCACGTGCTTCGCCTTCTTCCGGCATCTTCTCCCCAACAGCAATCTTCAGTAGCTTGTAGCGTTTGAAGGCACTCCTCATCCGCCCGCTCCATTCCTCATAGTTGGAGCCATCCAAAGCTTCAACTTTTGATGGCGGCGGCTCAGTTGTCTTCTCAAGTACAGCTCCTCTTCCATTAGCGTCTCCTCCTCTCTCATTCATCTTCTCCTTGAGAAATGACGAATTTCAGCTCCCCTTTGCTGTCCACACTCAGCTCCCTCGATATTTTCACAAGTGTTGGCGCCCACGAAATTTCGGCAGAATTTCCCCTTAGCGGAAGTCACATCCAACCTTTAGAACACCACTTAGGCACACCCACACGCCATGGTGGGTCTAGAAGGGTCTTCACACTTCTGTATACTCCTCTCAATGTCCTTAATATCGCTCTGATACCACTTGTTAGGATTAAGGACGGAGTCTAGGTGAACTTAGGAGCTAGAATTACTCAAAATATAAATCCGAAATTCTGGACAGAAAAGTCGTCTTCACACGAAACGACGTCGACGAAAAACTAGCCGTTGGAATGTCTCGAAACTCCGATATGTTGTAGCTCTTAATCTCAGCGACCGTTCCCAATTTGAATCACATTGATTGATGAAGTATTCGCGATGCTATGGCTTTCGACGCGCTGGGGGGTAAGCTGTAGGAGGAGAACTTAACTCAATCTCAAAAGTTCAATCAAAGTTCAAGAATCTCACAAGGAATTAGAGGAGCAAGAGAAAGGTTGGGATAGAAGAGAGGGATGAGAGGGAAGGTCCCAAGAGAGTCCCCAACCAAGGAAACCCCACAAGCACAAAGATTCCCTCCCTATAGGAACCCCAACTTTGACATTTGTCCCTTCCCAACCAATCCATCCAAGTTGGCCACCCTTGCCAACCTAGCTTGGTAGTTCCCAACCAATTTGCAGCTGTTACAGTAGAGTGACAAATTTCCCCAACCCCAAAGGTCCCAATTCCATATAGAGTCACCCCACAACTTCACTTTGTAACCGCCGCAATTGTAACGCAAGCTCATGAACTTTGAATCTTCATAGCTTTCGCGTTCTTGCTCCGATTGAAGCGATTCTTGTTGCATCGGAAAGATCTTCTCAAGATCTATCATCACAAATACCTGCTCAAACAAAAATAACACAAAACACATTCCCAAACTCCAGAACACACACCACACAACTTCTTTCACACACAGTCAAACCATACATGCGAATTGAAACAAGGGATGGGAGGCAGACAGAATGTGATAGCATATGATGACATCACACAACACCAGCTGGTCCAAGCGGCAATGACGCGATCCTCGTCGTCGTTGACCGGTTGACCAAAATGGCCCATTCCGCCACTTGCAAAATGACAATTACTGCCGAACAGACAGCAAAACTGTTCCTCACTAACATCGTGCGGCTATACGGCATCCCCTCGGCAATCATCAGCGATCGTGACCCACGGTTCACGTCCAACTTCTGGACAAAAACCTGGCAGCACTACGGCACATGTCTGCATCTGTACACGGCGTACCATTTGCAATCGGACGGTCAAACTGAGTGCACCAACCAGACGATGGAGCAGCTGATTCGAACGACATGCACAGACCCGGCCCAATGAGAAGACGCCATTCCTTAGATCGAGTTTTGCGTACAACAATGCCCCATCGGCCACGACTACTCATTCCCCGTTCTCCCTTAATTACATGATAGATCCGACAACCCCTCTATTGTTACCGATAGAAAATCCGACACCAAGATCTCAACAGTTCATCGAAAGCCTCCGACAGTCTCAACAAAAAGCCGCCGATGCCATCCTAAAAGCCAATTAGAGGGCTAAGCAGCAAGCTGACCGATGACGCCAAAACTTAACACCTGCCCCTGGGCAATCGGTCCTGCTCGACATCAGAATTTTGGGAATTCCCCTCCCAAATAAATTACGACCAAGATTTTGCGGGCCATTCCACAATCATTCGCATGGTGACACCCGTAACCGCCCAGTTGCAACTGCCGACCGACTAGCAAATTCAAGATTCGTTCCACGTCAGTCTCCTGCGACCGTTCGTCCCGAGTGCAACCAATCTCGACCATCAACACATTAATCCTCGCCGACGGTCAACCCAGTACCCGAGCCGACGACAGAGCCGTCCAAGATTCTCGCTCATCGCGTACGGGGACATCGAGATACAACAGCCGTTGATTTCCTTGTACGATGGGTCGATCGCACAAGTGATGACGATCTCTGGGTTCCCGCAGCTACGCTCGGCGAACACAGAGTTGTCTGGGACTATTTACACCGACGACGTGTCCCGGATGTGGGTAGTCTCTGTTAAACAAGCTAGGTACCTAGGAACGGTAGGAAGCCATGGAATGGCGTGAGGGTTTAGCTAGGAACTAGGAGAGAAAGTTGACGAGAGAAAAGAGAGGCGAGAATAGAAGAGAGAGGGATACAAGGAGGGGTGTTGTACCCTCTACTGTAAGTTTCAGTAACGCCTACCAAGCCTACAATTATATAACATATATAATTAAACACACCCCCTAGGCTTGGTAGTAGAAGAACCCACACACACCCACACCCACTAACCTAGCACCCCCATTCCCAACAGCAGCCACGACAACTCTAGCAGGGCCAACCCCACGGGCCGTGAGATGGCGACGGCGGCAGTGACGATATCGGCGGCAGCATGCGGCGGCAACAGGCCAGCGGCGACAGCGGTAGCGGCGGCAGCTTTGACGACAGCGGCGGCGGCAGCGGCCCCCGCCTTTTTGGCAGCGCGGCCAAGCTCCGCGATAGTGGGACGGCCGGCGGGAGTCAGGCGTCGGCTGTGGCGAGGAGGAGGGGACGCAGGGGAAGGAGGAGGGGGGGGGGGGGCGCGTGGTCCAGCATCACGCCCGTGGCTGGCGTGCGGGCTGCAGGTCTAGCGGCGCCACTGGCATTGCGCGGCCAGCTGTAGCTCGACGACGCTGCCACTGCAGCATTACGACGCCGCCACAGCGCGGCGTCGATGCCGCGGTGGCGCGTCGGAGCTGCGATGGCAGCACCTAGAAGCCGCCATGGCAGCTCGGAAAGGCCGCCACGGCGGCACAAAAATGGCAACCAAAAAGAAACGAGCATGCGGCGGAAGCGTGGAGAGCAAGGCCGGGAAGGGCAACCTGCTCTGAAACCATGTTAAACAAGCTAGGTAGCTAGGAACGGTAGGAAGCCATGGAATGATGTGAGGGTTTAGTTTAGTTAGGAACTAGGAGAGAAAGTTGACGAGAGAAAAGAAAGGTGAGAATAGAAGAGAGAGGGATACAAGGAGGGGTGTTGTACCCTCTACAGTAAGTTTCAGTAATGCCTACCAAGCCTACAATTATATAACATATATAATTTAACAGTCTCGTCCCGGAAAGGGGGGTGGTATAAGGAAAACCCCTTTTCCTTATCGACTACAGCGCGTACGCCCTCGAATCTCGGAAGTCCAGGCTTGGCCAACTTCTTCGGTCCTGTACCATTTAGCGAACCCAAACCTAGACGCGCGGCGCTTCCGTAGCTTTCGCCAACCGGACCGCCCCGACTTGTTTGCATGGTTGTCGGCCAGCTCTGTTCGTGCCTATAAATGCCTAGGCCCTCATTTGTATCGACACTCTTGAATCACGACTCCTTTATTACACTACCTGTTATTTCTCTGATAAATTCATAACACTGTAAGACCCCAGTTACTATGTCATATACGACGATGAAAACAGTGTAAGGTGAGTGCAACGCCTTCATGTAAGGAATTAACATTCCTTACTGTGCTAAACTACAACGCGTACACCCGAAGACCTCGAACTCGAAGGTTCGGCCATTATTGTCGGCCCAAACTTCCCCGAGTCGCGTTCCGACACCCTCGACACCCAACCAAACCATTCACGTCCCGAGGTCCTCGCCCTAGCTTGTCCTAGCACGTCCGTGCCCTATTTTAGCCATTTCGCTCGTCACTTCTGGACACATGATTTTCTGAGGTTCTATTCCCATTATTGAGTGGTTGTTCCATTCCCACTCATAACATCTGGTATTCATAGCACTTTTTTAGGCTAGTCGCTTCCGCCTGCCCTATATTTTTTTTCGGGGAGGGGGGGGGGGGAAGGAGGGATGGCTGGAGGGCATGGGGCTGCATTACGGTTGTCCAGGAGCTAGATATGATTAGCTCCTTCAACTACGATAGCGTGTGCGCCTCTACGCCGCTCGATCTCTTCCTTTGGACGGCCTGGATTGGTCGTGCCCCGCCCTCCCCCCGGGAACAGACAGATCTGTCTGTCGCGAGTTTTTGCCACGTAATTTTAGTGGCGTTCATTTCAATTGTCTAGAGCAGCAACTGGCGTCGTCGTTACGTGGCGAAGGAATTTTCAAGACGTCACGCGCGGACTTCGTCAGTGGCTCACGAAAATTGCGAGGCTCGCCTCGTGGGAAAACGACAGCTGTGGACCTCGCCAGGTGCACGAGGAATGTGCGTCAGGAATTATGCTGACGAGGAGAGACGACACGTGCCAGCTACCCGAATTATGCGGGAGTGGTGTGTTGTCCTGTCCGGACTGGAGCGGATTGCTGCCAGGTGGGCGCGTCATCATAATTTCCGGCAGGAGCGACGCAGTGTGGGACGGCGTGTGCCATTAACTTCCGAAAAGTTTGGACTCAGCCACCATTCTGCAGTAATCGGCGGCAGCTGTTCCTGGCACCCGATAAAATCGGCACCGACAATTGCGGATGTTGTGGACGATCTTCAAGCCAAGCCGATTTCCCACAAAACGACACTGGCGCCTGCGTTTTTCTAGGGAAACAGCCTTGGAGACAGGCCAGCGCCCCAGGAAACAACGTCTCTGGTGCATCGTTTAGTGCCCGCAATTTTCGGGGGTTTCTACCGGTAAAACGTACGGAGATGCGACAGACCGGGTTGAACAAGAGAGGAACTTCGACTCTTCAGGAAGACCAGGGCAGCGTAGCGGAAATCTCAAGCTGAGTGCCCCCGTGTTGGGCTAAGCGGCGGTAGCAAAATGGCCACCTACCGGCCGAGACTTTCCAACGGCTCACATCTTCCACACCAGGTTCCAAGTTCGGGTTTAATACTACTCTGACGGTCCTGGACGAATAACGTGGACAGATCTGCGGTTAACCTGTGCTGGTTAAAATGCGGGAGTACAACGGGTTCGACAGTATGAAAAAAAAAAGGAGTTGTGCGCCCGGCGCACGTGCATTTCTGTTACGACCGACAAAAACGGGGCGTTGGGTGAACGACGACCAGCCGAGATTGTCGAGGAGCTGAAAGTTCGAAGCTGTTACTATTCCAGCTGGAGGAGAAAGCCGCTGTTGCCGAAATTTTGGAGTGCGGTGGAGCTTCTCGGAGTTGTTCCTGGTTAACGGGACTACTTCGCGAGGTGTGAATGTCTAGGACCCTACTGCCACTGGACGGGCGCTAAGATGGGTGAACGTCAATGTGCCATTAAACGTCAAGGCACTTGGTGGGAAATTCTTCACTGGTCGGGACAGATTTTAAGGGATTCCGCTACTCCTGCCGCAGCCGCGAGATGGGTGAAGCGTCTTCACGGTCAGCCGGTCAGGGGTGCCTGGCATACTCCGTAGTTGGGCAACAGCTGTAAGCAGATCGACGGTGTACAGCGCGCGTTAGATCGTGATCGACGTTGTTGGAGGCGCCAGGGGCATGCTGTGCAGTTTACCTGAAGAACTGGGTCGCACTTCATGTCAACAGCTGGGTTCGGACGGCGACGTTGGAAATCATTTGACACATTCTGGGCATCGTCTCCGATGTTTACGGGTTTTTTGAAGCAGTGTTGCAGCTGGTTTCAGGGCAGCGGTCCTTGGGTTTCCGATTAAACCGCGTAGAGCAGCTGTGTGTTAACCGCTGGTGTGGTACCCGATATCTTCCGGGGTACGAACGACATCGCCCGACATTCTCGGACTGTTTCGATTTCATGGAGGGAAACGAGAGTGGAAGCTATTCGGCCCTTGCCGAAATTTTCGGCGTGTACGGACAACAAAGTTGATGCAGCTGGCATCCTTTGACACTTGGGTCGGTTCAAAGTGTCAAACATATATTATTATGTTCTTGTAGACTGTATGGGTTTGTGCCTTGGAGGGTATAGCTTGCTAGGTTATATTCCTCTGTACTCATCCATTCTAGTCATTCTAGCATTCGAACATGG